TACACACAGCAGTATGGATACATTGAAGGAGGTCAAGTAATGTACTGGCTTTCACCCACTGTCTTGACCAGTTCATGTGCAGCTTGGATATAGCTGTATTGACTGCCAAGCCACGTTTCTCCTGTATAATCCAAGTCCATTTGCAAACAGAAGAGCTTGGAAATACCTCGGAAAACCTGTCACTTGATTTTCTTCTTCAGCAAGCTACAAACATGGCTCCAGATAAACTGTGCAAACTCTTCTGCTTTTGGTTGTTTCTCCTTCGAGAAATGAGTTCCCTGGGCAGAGGGCCAGTGGCAGCAGGCAGCGGGTCACAGCAGGCACTGCTGTGACAACAGGCTACTTCATGGAAGCAGAGGCACAAGCCTCATCCAGAGAAGATACTTAACCCTTGAAATCCAAGCTCCATTGGCACTAGGTTATCAGCTGTCTTACTGATATCTGTATGATAGGATCTAGCAGATCGAGATCTGGCTTTTTTTTTTTTTTTTTTTTTTTTAAACTGGTATTACAAGGGCAGCTATTTTCCTAGGGCAAGCACAGTCCTGGAGAGCAGTTTCACTTCAAACCCTCCAGCAATGTCAGGTGAACAGACCTTAACGATCCTGCGCAGTTTCTTAACGTTTCCCTTAGTAATTAGGTGAAATCACATTTAATTAACATTTAAATAGGCCCACTCCCAAGTGTGACGGGGAATTTTCCTAAAGCTCAGTATGGCAAGAGCCCTTCGAGCTGACACATTCCCACTTGCAAACACAAGTGAAAAGTCAGCAGTGACATGCATGTTGACAGTAGCAGAGAAAGGCCAAGGTAGGTATGGCCTGACACAGATTGTTTAGCAGAATTTTGCAAACTCTCCAAATTTTAACGAAACTAATAAATTTAATCCAGTTAAAAAAAAAAAAAAAAGGCACGTGGGTGTAGTATTTTGGCTGACCCTGAAAAAATGCCAGTTGATCTTTTCTCCTCGCTTTTCGAAAAAAGATCATTTCTAAGAGTACAAGGGTTGCAAACTGCAATTTCAATGAAAGCTTTCATTCTTGCCATACAGCCAAAATTATTAAATAACTTCTTTAAGAAGATGTGTCCTTTACTGATTTTAGATGAATATAAATTGAAATTTTGTAGGCTGCAGAGGACAGTAGACATCTGGGAAAACACACGTGATGATAAGCACTGCATGAATTTACTGTTTTGCAAACAGCATTATTCCTGAATTGCCGACAGGTATTTCAGACTGGAATAGCACACCCAGGGATGGGAAACATCCACACCCACTGGGACTGGTGCACTCCAATGCCCATACAAACAAGAGGACAATTAACTCTTTGAGGGCATAAGGATAATCAAGTCCTATGTCCTCCAATTCACATGCTTCTGTCAACAACTTATCCCGTCTCTGGGGCTTCAGTCTGCCCAGTAGTAATCAACATTTTAACTAGACTAATGATTGCAAAGTTTTAATCAAATCTAACAGCTATGTATGATACTACAATGGGGTCAAGTGGTTAAGACACTCTCAATTCTTTCTCCAAAATCCCTTACGAATGCCTTCTCTGAAGTCTCCGCTCTCTTTTTTAGAACATCATACCTTAATAATTCCCCAGGAGGTCTAGATGAGTGCTGACATAAAGTAAGGGTCCAGGCTAAGTGCTTCTCATCTAGTCAATAACAAATACTTTGGTGTTCCTTGACAACCATGGGCTGATGTGTTTCCTTCATCACTGTTCTCGTGACAGTCATCTTAGGAGTGAGGTCCCTGGTGACACCAGCAGCGACTCACCACGTTGCAGGCATATTTGGAGAACACTAGCTCCTGCTTGGGCAGGGATAAGGGAAGTCTTTTTTTAACTCTGGCACTCGGGGTAGATGGCAGTACAAGACAGAGAATGATGGGACTGACAAATCCTTTGCTGTTAAGATGTGTCCTCATAGGCTTTTCTTTTCTACCAGGGCTGATCCTTTTGATCTCTATATCAGCTTAGGGTTTGGTGCTGAAAAGGTTCTTTTAACATGCATTTGCCTCTGAATTTAGGTCTGCTTTTAATCAGAGCCAGCCTACAAGCCGTATGGGCATATCCAGCTGGGAAGGTGACTTGGATGGCCTGAAATAAACCATCAGAGTTTGTTGTTACTGCCTACAAGCTGAGTGTACTAATCTATTTATATCTCATGGACTCAGTAAAATCATCCAGCTCAGTCTGTCTTTTAGCAGGCATGCAGTAGTGTGCTTTTTTGTCCTTCTTCCAGGTGGCTGGGATTTGGCTCTGTTTCCTTGCTCATCATCTCTTTTCCAGGATTTGCTTTTTTCTGGTGTTTTTCTCAGATCTGCAGACGATCTTTTAAATAGGGCTGTGATACAAGCAGCTTTTAGTACATTTGTATTGAGATAAATCAGTAAAGTCTGTTCTTGTGTTACACAACATCTCCTTTGTGAACTTAAGTAAATCAATGCTATTTACTTCAATGGTGTTTTCCACTTCCCCTGTTTAATGACGGAAGAGCAGAGGACATTTCTGAGGCACATCTGTCTGGCACTGCTCTTTCCCGGCTTGGCCACCACAGCTCAGAGTGGTGCACACACGTTCCCTCCGTCATGACGTCAGCACCTGCTTCTTCTGGTCCAGACCAAATCCTACCTTTCTGTAAAGAACAATGTGAGAGAGTGCTGCTGAGCCTCTTACTTCATTTATCCTTGCTTACTTTATTTATCCTTAACATACACAGCTGGTACTGAGTCTGTCCAGCTACAGCAGCATGAGAACACTCTATTGCAAAGTGAGGAGGAACATGCCAAAAAGGGATGCAAGTGTAGCCACTTTTTTTCTTCCATGGTAGCTAACATTCACCTCTGAAAGAGGAAAGAAGCAGAAACATGAGTCACAGAACTTATTTTTCTGACCATGCAGCAGCTCTTTCAACACCTTCCAGGTCAAATAATGCATATTTGCTCACTCCTCTTGTCTCTGTGCTGGTAAATAATCCCAAGCTGATGGGAAGGAAGCACGTTTTGGATTCTTCTGTTATCTGTATGGATGTGAATGTAGTATTTTCCACAAAGATGCTCTATTAACTAGCCCCAGATGTTAGATGATTCTTTATGCTATAGACCCTCCACTTAGTGACTGTTATCTCTTCTATTTATATACTTAAATCAATTTCCCATTATCACTTCATCTTACTTAATTGTTACAGCAATAGATCATAATGAATTGTAATACTACAAAAATTTATTATTCACTACAATTGTAACAAAACGACATACATATGCATCTAACACAAAAGCACAAAAAAACTCT